CCCCCCACCAGGGGGGGGGTGGGGGAGGGGGGGGTGTACTCATAGTCGTGCATGCCGTAGTCGTTAGACCATTGACCTCGCATCCCTACAAAGCCGGGACGGAGCACGCCGGGTTCTCACCGGACCAGGATCTCACATCACCAAGCGCGAAGCACCGTGAGGTATTTGGCGAGTCGCATGAAGGGTGAGCTGCATCCTGCTAAGGGTGTTCGGCATCTTGTGCTTACTTCCTTGCGTACGGATGACAGCTACGTATGACTTAATTTATTTTCTGGTGCTTCCACCTCCAGAGACAGTTGTAAGCACTGTGTAACTGCCTCAAGGGTGCTTGACCAATATTAACACAACGTGGTGCGATCATCCCCCGTTGCGCGGAGTGAGGGTTCTCCACCCCGCACAACATGATCTACTCGACCACCATTATGGTTACCGCCAAAAAAAAAAAACGACGTAAAAAAAAAAAAAAACGGTAACCTGGTTGCCGAGTTCACGAAGTGAATTGGCTTGTTTTACAACGTCATTGCCAAGCGACGAAAACCCAATCCCGATGGCAAACACCGAGCGGGGGGCTTGTTTTACAACGTCGTTGCCAAGCGACGAAAACCCAACCCCGATGGTAAACACCGGGGGGGGGGGGGGGGGGGGGTCCGTGGTGGAGTCGTACAATCTGAGAGGATGTGGATGGTAAACGATGGTGCTGGTGCAATGTATAGATCGTCTGGCAGCGGGTGGTAGAAACGGGCCGAATAAACGATGGCCCAAGGACTTCATCTCGCACAACTACGAGAGATGTGGGGGTGTGTTTTAAGTTGAGCAATAGGATGACAAAACGTATAGGTATAATATTTCAAGGTTTGGTAGCAGGCGCGTAAGGCGAGCCAGATACCCGACAGCCTGGGATATCCAGGTCCTTGGGGACGGAAAAGGCGGGCAAAGGTGAAGCTTGGGGAGGGCCGCCCTTTTCCCGTCTGAAAGTACAAAAACACGTGCTGCCAACTGATGCGACGACTGATGCGACGACACCTGGGTACAACATGGACACAGGGAGTACTCCCCCTGCCCATAGAATACACCGTCAAAATTGCTAGAACCTCTTTTTCCTCTCATGCCAAATACAAATGACAATACATGAAATGATCGACCCTGTCTTTACCTGTGGTCCACGCTGCCTACTAGTGGGAGAGGTAGCCATACCTTCTGCCTACATACGGGCGAGATAGGTAGCCATACCCACTGCATTTAACACACACCCACATGTCGGTGATGAAACCTCAACCACATGCCTCTATCGGCGACCACGTCAGGAGGCAATGAAGAAAAGATGAAAAAATGTTCTCCCGTGCCATTTGCAGATTTCACAGCACGAAATTACACGAAATTACACAAAAAGGTAAGAAAATGGTGAGACCACGCCCGTGTGTCCGCACATACTCCGAAATGTATCCACACATATACATACCCAAACACCCGGTACATACGCGTACCACATTGAAAATACGTTTGAAAACTGAGGGAGATTGCATTCCCTACGGCTAAAAGGGTGCCACACACAAAACGCCCGACCAGTACCTAACACATATCATCTGCACCTTCCCAACATAACATATATGAGACACACAAGACAGCTACCAAACTGTCTTGTTGAGCCTGTTACCCGCAGGGGAGATGTCCCTATATGCTGTCTGGGAAATCGTAGACATACAGGTACTTTCTGACGCTATGAATCCATTGCTAATCTGTCTCAGACTTTTTTCTATGATAGAGATGGTTTCGTTGTGTCATATTAAGAAAAAAAAAAAAAATCCTCACCTTCCCGAAAGGAGCGTACTCTCCGACTGCCACAGCGTCCAGGCATAGCCGTCGCAGCAACGAATCTCCAAAATCTTCGAAGCCCTCGTCCTCCAAGCCCCCTTCTCTGTCTCCCGCGCCCGCCTCACCTTGAGCCGGAGGAGTTTCGAACCGAGATCGAATCGAAAGGCTATGCAGAGTTCGTTGCAAATGGTCGCTTGAGGAGCTTTAACGACACTGCGCGATAAATCCCGCATCAAGAATCGCGTCATACGGGTTTCACCCCACTCTCTCGGTTCGAAAATTAATGGGAGCCATCGTCGTTATGTGGCGGTAAAAAAAGAGTCACCAACATGCCGCCTTTTCCACTATCTGCGTGACTGTGTGCCTCACTCCCATCGTTCCTCTGCTGTCCCCCCCTCCCCCGCTCCGACTGTCTTACCGGCACCACCCCCGAAGTTTCCCCCATCCAGCACCGTCGCCCCCGAGCGAGGAGTCGGAATCGCGGTTGCATCAGTCTTCGCCGACTTCTCCGCCGCCCCACAACCACGATCTCCGACATCTGCGGAAGGCATCTCCGTCGTAGACCGCGGCTGTCGTGCCGGCGAAGTTTGATCTTCTTCTTCTTCTCGCTGCTGTTCCAACTCGTTGTCGACGGCGATTTCCCGGAAGATGTCGGCATTGCGCAAGAGGACGCTCAGAACCTCGGCGCCGATTTGCTGCCAAAAGAGAGAAGTCGAGGGCGTGCGTCGTGGTATGGATTTATTTGGTAGGAAAGGTCGGTTTTGTGCGGGACTCTGCTTTGGAAGCTGCTGACTGTTCAATGAACAAAACAAAAAAATGGAGACAAGTATGACTGGAGTATGGGCTACGTACTGAATACCGGAGGGGGGGCGAGTACATGCCATGCGGCGCTAATGGATGTTCAAAGTAGTGGCAAGCGACAACTTAAACATGTCCTGCTGAAAAGAAAAAAAACCTGGGCCTGCACCCCGTTCATCACCCCACAAACCGCATTTGGTGTACGGGTGCATACATGGTGCATCCGGCCGGCAAAGACAGGACACACCCTTTCCCGATCAATCATGTGCTTTTCCTCACCCAGGCCGGTCGGAACAGGTCAGACGACATGACGTGGTTGAAGCTGTTGGAGTCGACCAGGTCGCCCCATGCGAGTAATTCTGGACCCTGCCTGTCCCAGATCGCGCTCAGGGTAGCCTGGTATTCGTTTGACCGGACAGCACAACGGCAGTCAGAGCAGCAACAACAGTGATGGAAGAACGTTTCGGAGCTGGCATCATGCGGCACATCGACGTACAGCAAAGCACTCTCGGCTGCTACATTGCACTCGATTCCGCTCACGGCGGCAGACCGCCAGATTTGGTCGCACACCAGTCAAGTCAAGGGCTGCACGAACACACACGCATAGACACACATGACCCCCTCCTCACGGACCCCCAGATCATGACCTTCTATAGATGCGTAGCCGTTGTTACCCACACTGAAACTGACGAATTTCAATGGCCAGCCCGTTAGCGCGGTGGATCCCAACATGACAGATGTACAGTGGGGGGGGGGGCTGTTTAGTGCCGGTTGAATGGTGCCAGGTGCCCGGAATAGTGCCGGTCGATTCCCTCGACACAAACCGGCACTACACAGCCCCCCCCACGTACACAAACACACCTGCAAGCAGACCTCGACAAGCGCGGGGCAGTCGCACGCCACGCCGTGGTGGAAAAAAGCCACCAGCCGATCCTGTATCCTCCTCCCCAGATCCTCCGCCGCTTCGCCGGCTTCCGGCTCACCGCTGCCGCCGCCGTCCGAGGAAACAGCCTTGCTCCCGTAGGTGACGGGGACATCACCGCCAACCTCCGACGGCACCGGGACTCCGGCGATAAACAGCGTCGGGAGCGGGGGCGGCGTCGATCCACGGCCACCGCCGCCGCCCTCCCAACCTTCCCGAGCTTGGCCTTCGTCGCCACCTCCAATCGCTAGGCCGAGGCCCTCTCTCTCCTCCTCCTCCTCCTCTTCGCCTTGCTCGCTCGAAGCTCCGCCTAACTCGGAGCGTTCGCGTTTTCTCCCCTTCCCTTTAGGGCCGCCCGCGATAGGCTCCTCTTCTTCTAGGCCTAGCCTACGGTCGACAGGGGCAGCCTCCTCGCCGCCGCCGTCGCCGCTTTCCTCGTCAACGTCTGAGACATCATCCGGGTCGGCTAAGGCCACGGTGCGGGCCGCCAGCGGGGTGAGGGCCAGGGTAAGGTGGACCAGCCTCGCCGCGCTCACGAGAATCCCGAGCTCGTGGTCCTGACGGGCGAGGAGCACATGAGAGTTCGAGAACACACAAGTAACGGGCGACGCCGTTACCTTCAGCAGCCTTCCTGTCTCGCCTTTAGGTTCGTCCTTCTCTTTTTCTCCCTCGCAGACACAACACCTCATCTCATCTCAACTGCTGTGTTTCACATTGTTGTATTTTCTCCCCTGAGACTGTCGAGGTCGCCCCCTCCTCTGAAGAACACGGGCAACAATAGTCTGACACCCGATTCCCCATAAAAACGCACCAAGCGATCCCCCCCATGGTGGAACCTTCACAACGCCCCCGAAACGGCAAAACGCCGACCACTGCTTTTAAGGACGGCACCACTTCAGCCCTGTCGACCATAACCAGTACCAGGTGCGTACAATCCGCAACAGCGGGGAAAAGGCACGGGATCAAGTACACACGCCGCGTCCTCCCGTCGAAGGCCAAGGATGAGGTTCCCTACCTCCCTCCCTCCCTCCCTCCCTCTCCATCAGCTTACCGTATCGCCGGGCAGCGTCTCCAGGAAGCCGGCAAGGACACCCAGCAGGTCGCCGGCGAACGCCTCCCCGTCAAGCAGGCCCACCATGCAAGAGAGCATCCGCGACGACAGCTCCCGCCGCACTTCCAGCAGCTCCTCCTCCTCCTCCTCCTCCTGTTCGTCGTCCGTCGTGCTACCACCACCACCACCACTGTCGTCGCCGCTATCGCTGTCGCAGCCCTCCTCCTCCCCCTCCTCCTCCACCACCAAGCTGTTCCTCGGGCTCCC